GACATGACGTGACACATAGACACGACCGGTGGATAGGTCATAGCAACGAAACCCCTTGGAAGAGGAATCATACCCGAGGAATATACAACGTTTGGAACGTGGTTGAAACTTGTGGGTGATTTCATGACGGAGACATGGGTATGCGAGGCAACCAAAAACACGAAGGATAGAGTAGTCAGGGCGTGTATGGTAGAGGGATTCATATGGGGATCGGTTTTGAAGGGACCGCTTTGGCATGCGATTAATCAGAAAATTTGCCGTAGCCAAAGCTTCAACCCAGAATTTAGCAGGAAGGGACGCCGTGCACAATAGTTTCACGAGAGTCTCAACTAGGTGACGATGTTTACGTTCAGCAACCTCGTTCTGTTCAGGGGTGTATTTTTGATGTAGAACCCCCAAGCTTTGTAAAAATATCCCAAATCGGTGATTAATATATTCACGGCCATTATCAGTTCTAAAAATTTTAATTTGAGTTTGGAACTGAGTTTGGACCATAGCTTGAAAACTTTGAAAAGCATGAAATGCATCAGATTTACTCTTAAGAGGATAAAGCCAGCAAAATTTGGTATAATCGTCAATAAAATTAATATAAAATCGAAATCCCCCAAATGAGGGTACAGAAGTGGGTCCCCATACATCAGAGTGAACTAAATCAAAAGGGGAAGATGCTTTTGTTTCAGATACAAGAAAGGGAAGCTTATGGGATTTAGCAAGTGAACAAGAATTGCAATGATCAAGTTCTTGGAATTTAAAACCTAGTTGTGCTAATAAGGACTTGGTAACTTGAACAGATGGATGACCAAGACGACAATGTCATTGATGAGGGGTGACTTTGACCATGTTGACCACGGGTGACTTGGACGCTGGAATGGAGTACATACCACGCTCACAAGGGCCCTTGAATAGCACTTGATTGGTACGGTTGTCCCGAATCGTAAAGTCCTTGGATGTGAAAAGGAGAGAACAGTTATTATCTTTGATAAATTGATGGACAGAAAGAAGATGGGCATTAATATTAGGTGAGTGGAGTAAATTGGGTAAGTGGAAAGTGTGATGGGAGGTGGTTAAAATACCTGAGCCTGTGTGATTAATGGGATAAGTATTACCTCCCGCAGTAGTTATAGAGTTGGTGCCTTGATATGGTGAAGAAGACTGCAGACGAGATAAATCAGAAGTCACATGAGCATTTGCCCCTGTATCCAGATGCCAATTCGAATTGATGTCAGTGGACTGAGTGGTG